CGGGGAGAGGAAGGGGAGGGGAGGAGGAGGGGGAAAGGGTTTGGGGGGAGGCGAAACGTAAATTTGAAGCGTCGCGCTCAGAGCGAGGAGGGTCAAGCGGGAGTAGCAACAGCCCCCACGAAGGGCCCTGAAGGGGCTTTAAAAGCAGGATTCAGCGACGGCCACCTGGGCAGGGGCGGCGTTTGGGGTTGGGCGGGGGCGGGGCGGAGGCGGAGGCGGGGGCGAGGCTTGCCTCCAACCGACGCACAACTCGCGCAGCCCCTGGCGAAGAGGGCCATGGTGCACTCAAGGGCGCAGCGGGAAGTCAATGCTGCAGTCACTAGAAGAGGGGTGTTGGCCAACAGTTTGGTGGGGCCTCGCCTCAAATGCGAATATGATACTGACATCAAACTTACAGGGAATTGCGGGTTGAATTTCGTACTCGCACTTTTGAGCGTTTCTTTTGGAGAGCTTTCTCTTATTTCAAGATTTAAAACGTAACAAATGCTTAATTACTGAGAATGAAATATTATACCATAGAGCGATCTCACTAAGATATTTGAATCTGCCATTATTTTTGAAGATTATTCATATTTATAAAAAGTGTATACAATACATAGTTTTCTTTCTTTCATGGAACGAAGTTTAGCTTAAAAATGGAAGCTGCAGTCTTATAATCATTTCTTCAAATTCAACAGTTCGCAAGAAAATAACGTATTGCCATTGCGTACTGATGTTTAACGTGTTATGTAGTTTTGTTATTAATGATATGATTTTGTTGTCTAACTGAAACATACACATACACACACACATCACTGCCTTTCTTCCCAGCCACATTATTTTTGGTAGGAGCATCGCAGGTGCATCGGGGACTCACCTGCAGGGCGGTGGCGTGGTCGGAGGCCGGAACGCCGGTCAGCTCCTCGCACCGAGACATGTCCACCATATCGGCTGGGAAAAATTGCTGAAACACAACACAGTGCAATGAATAAGTGTCGGCCACAGCAGTCTTAATATGTTCGAAGAAAATAAAGACAAATATTTTTATGCAAAATAACCTAGTTAAATGTCAATTAACAAAAATGTCATATTTTTAGTAAAATATAATTTCAAATATTTAAAATATTTAGAACGTCTTTTAGAATACGGTGAGCTTCAAACAAATTCCTAATGACTTAAATCTATATCAGTCTTAAAATTACAAAAATACATTACACCAACACTTCTTTATTTCCAAGGCTAGGATTTATACATAATTATATATTTTTCTTTTCATTAGTCATCAAACAAACGTTTTTCATGTTGACGAATGCAGCGTTTTGATGTTATTTGAAACATTTTACAATCCATATTACTTCACACTTTTTGCTGTACTCTTATTTTTTTTACATTCTCGACGAAATGTCAAAATCGTAGCATATTTCAACATAATTATTGAAAATATTGTGAATAAGCATTCTTTCGAAATTGTTGGAGGAAATTTTTTTTAATATTTATTGTCGTTTTAAGTCATTTAGAAGCCTCTACTGGATATCTGGTGATTCAAGATGGTCCCCATTACCTTTAATGATTAACAGAAATATCGGTAGTACAAAGAAATATTAAGATGAAGATGCCAATTTCATACTTACAATTTTAAACAGTACTATGTAAAATACTGCACGGTAAATTTTCAATTGTGAAACCGATTAAGTACCGTAAATTCAACAACACAACAATTTCTGATCTCTCTTTATGCAAGAAATCACGAAATATTGTTCTCTGGCTAACATAAAATAAGTTATTTTGGCCATTCTATATATGTCATATAAACGAAAATCAAATTGAAAGGAACGAACGTGCTTCAAATGGTAACACAATTGGAATAAGTAGAAGGCTAATTATCTTCTTTCTTCAATACTGATACTAGAGTGTTGATATTGAGAGCAAATTAGTAAGGGACCAAATTCCAACAAAACATCCAATATAGTGACTCTTGTATTTTTTCAAGTGTATAAATACTGGAAATATCGAAAAATATCGCAAAGCTTCAGATCCGGAGAGGTGGCCGTCTTGCTCTGTCCGTAGGCGTTCGAGCGCGCCACGAGTGCCATCGCCGTCTCCTCCGACCTGGCCCCCACCTACTCGCTCACCTCGACCTCCCCCAAGCGAGCCAAGGCCCCCTACGACCGCTGGCCCCCGTCTGCCCCCTTCACTCCCCTGCGCGAGGCGCTTTTCACGTGTTGCGAAACGGAGGCGGCGGCGGCGCAGGCGGAGGCGAGCGCTGGACGGGCCCGGCCAAAAAGCCTGCGCCCCGCCTCGGGCTGACCGCGAAGCCACGGAGCGCGACGTGCGTTACGCCATTCAGATGACAGGGTTCGCGAGTGAGCGAAAGAGTACCATTCCGTGTTTCCGGGCACGATAACTACTATAGTCACAAGCCCCGTAAGTGTACGCATGTAATAGCCGTATGTCGTGGGTGTTTGCCCTCCGCTGGAATGCGAGAAACAGACTCCCACGACTCATCGGACTTACCGGAATTTGTAGCCCTGCAAGTGCTCATCCCTTCCCCCCCGGTCTCCAGGATACATTCTCGACTCGTCTTTCGACGAGGGTGATAGTGTAGTGCATGTTGGGGGAGGGAGAACAAGAATGAGAAACAAGAAAAGGCACGGCCCGTGATCAGTTTTTTTAGGGTATTCCTCCGGTATTCGACCGCTAATGAGAAACCAAGGAAAGCTACCGATCAGAGCAGTCGGTCGCCGCTACAATTCTAACTCCAGACGGTGGCTGAATTCAACCTAAGCTATACAGGTAGGATCGAAAATCCATTAGGTCGGGATTAGATCCCATGGTACTCCCAGTCAGTCACTGAAGTGGCAACAGGTGTTGCTCTGAGGCATCTGAGGCGGTGGATTAATTGGCTGGTTGACTAGTGATTCCGACTAAGGTCATTAGTCCCGTAAGTGTAGAGCATGTTTTATCGTGGAAAGATGTGGTGATCTCCCGCTGTTAAATCCGGCGCCGACCTACCGTCGGGGTTTCCCCCTCAACCAGGTATCTCCCATCAGCGGGCCATCGCCCCTGCCGGGACAAGCTGTAAGCTCCTAACCGGTCTCCCAGCATTTGTGATATTGTAGGCATGTATGGCATGGCAGACTCGTATGAAAGTGAGTGGTAGGATAGGATAAAGAATGGGAAGGAAAGATCACGCCCAGACCGTGGACCGTTTGGTAGGGTACTACTCGGGCATTCGTCTGATATTGATCATTGGAAAAAATGGAAAACTACCAATCAGAGCAGCCGGCCGCTAGAACTCCTTTCCAGACAGTGACAGAACTCGATATAGCTAGTGCCTTGACCGGCGGAGAAACTTTTCGATTGGCATCATGTACAAAGTGCGCGAGGGCCTGTGCCGTTGGGTGATGCACGCACTGACGTCGCGTCCTCCCCGCCCGTCGCCTCCAGGCAGGAGGCCGCCCGGGAGCCGCGCTCGGCTGCGCCCACCCGCCTCCGAAGGCGAAACAATGGCAGCGCAGCCTTGCAAAGCAACGGCTGGCTTCCTTTACGACGACGGCAATTTATGGGCGCCTATTGATTGATAGGACGGAGCGGCGCGGCGCGGCGCGGCGCGCACGGCGAGCGACCGCGCGCGGGCGGGCGGAAGCGGCTTCGATAATGCAAACGCAACAAAGGCTCCCCACGCACCGCCAGGCCACGCTAGGCTGCATTGCGTTCCCCGCGCGTTGCAGGGCCGTTGCAAACAAATTCCACGGTTTGCTATACCTGCCGTGAGCGGTGCGAGACACCGGGAACCTGGAGAATCTGCACAATTATTTTAACGGAGTGTGGACCTGGAATGTCGCCGCTATGTTTTCTGAATACTGTACGCTACGGATAGAAGATTGCTTTTGAACAAGTTGGGGAAAATCGATACAAAAACCTCTAAGAACACTACTGATGGATGGGGAATTATTACCCAGTTCTGCATCTAACAGACTGAAGACGAAAAAATAGTTTGCAAGATTACGACTTTCCAAAACAAAACTTACACTCGCGCATAACTCAAAAGCGATATCTCCTAGGCCCTTTAAACCCTGTGTTTGTGTCCCGTAGGGACACGAGACGAGCTTTATGGGGATAGGTGGCGAAATGGCGAGCGCAGGTTGGAGATATGTAGGGAAATGAAGGGGAACAGGTGGGGCCCGAATTGTTCCTAAAGCAGTATTCTAAAAACGAGAACTTTCCATTATATTTTTGGAGATTTATTTCTCGCAGGTGGCTCAATTCCTTGGGATGAGTGAGTGGGTAGAAAACTGTACGCAATCATTATCTATGTAAAATTTAATTAAAGAATCAAAAATCCACAAATAATATTTCCCAATAAAATTATAGTGACTGATTTTCTTGGCAATTTAATCGCAATCTTTGGCAATATTATTCGTAGAATGGTTATTCACGCACAGTGCCAAACCTATAATGCTCTAAGACACCCAGTTCAAAGGCTGGCCGGTCGAAATTTGACTCTACTACGAAGCAAATTTTTATTTTCAAACAGTTATTTAGAAATGGACTTATCGCACGGATCCAGCTAGTACGGTAAAATACGCTAAGAAAAAGTGGCGGATGTATAAGAAACCTCGGACACGAAACTCCCCCAAGACTGTTGCTGCCAGAAGCTGAGTGCCCCCACACCTGTTTTAAAACAGTTTTATTACGAAATAACACAAATGCGTGATTTCTGATAAAAGGAGATCAAGCGCACACGCAACTCGCAACAAAAAGTATCAAATTGTTCATCACAGAGAAACGATTCATATGACGCCCTTTACACCACGCTTTCGGAGGCAGTCTAAACGTGGAAAAGATTATGTTTCTTGTAACGAACTAACATATAAAATTAGACTTTTTAAGACTAGTATGAGTAGCCAAAATCGAGCATAACATCGAATATCGTATAATATTAATGTGTCTAATCCAATCTAGGGAATTTTAACGCATTGTAAGAGCAATACAATGATTAGCACTATAATAATTCACACATTACCGGGCCTACACGACTGTCACGTACACCTGAGGACCAAGCAGTTTGAAGATGGGTTCAGTATAAAACCATTTTTAGTAACAATGATTTAGAAAGTAAGCACTAATCGCAATAGTTCAACTAGTCTACAATATTCCGAAACGTCCCGTAAGTGAACTTTCTAGAATACTGAAGCATGACATTCTGGAAAATGCTTAAGAAAAGTACGTTGCAACTATTTATTTGCATTTTCCAAGAATGTCGGACTTCATTTTACGTTTAAAGGGAACTCAGCGAAAACGTGCATGCGCGAAAACCATTAGAAAAAGAGACCAGATTAGGGTCTACGTACCTGAAGATACAAAAGACATGCCAGAAATACCAGATTACTTGTGATTCGTACACTCGTGTCTTCTTACAGAACATACTAAGCACTATGCACAAATCGTTGGTTTCTCTCTTTCTAAGACATGTGCTTGTGCTTTCCTTCGTAACAAGAGAAACAGGTGGGGAAGAGGAGGGTAGCAAGGGCAACGAGTGAACGACCATCCTTGATTTCAACGAGATCATAGCAGCTGAGAAGACAACAACAAAATCAGGCAAACCAACGTTGTTACGTGATATTTTATATAAACTAGTTGTTTCCTAAAATCACACGATCCGAATACTTGTTGTTTGTAAAACAGTATTACTGCAAGCAATATTAAATGGACTCGCTTGCCTTGAGCCTGTAGGTTCTACAATTGTGTTAAAACGAAGGAAAGACACCCATTCGAAATTCATCAATACAGAAAGCAGAGATGATTTACTGCGACTTCGTAAAAAAAGTGGGACCTAAGTATGAACAGTCTTCTTGACAGACCTCGAAAAGAGGCTAATAATCCAGACAATCCACTATCTATTATCCTTTACGTCAGCCGTAACTATTGCAAATAAACCCTTTTATAAAAAAAAATTGAATA